TATCTGTAACAATTTAGCTGAATGTAATCATGTAATAATTTAATTGCAATTGAATTTTCGGTACCCCTGGTGCTAATAAATGTCGGATATGATACCGAAATCGGATGATTCTAAAATTTCATATCGTTGGATTTGCACAGTTTAATAAAATCATAAATTTTCGTTTATAAATTTCATTTCCAATTTAATAAACGTACAATCATATATTTGCAAATATACCAAATTTAATGAATTAACAAGATGGAGATATAATAAATTTTACTATTTATACAAATGCATATTAGAAATTTCGTCACTATACAAACTACAATCTAGTGATCTTACTAAGCTTCCTGGATGCAACGAGATCGTTCGGGTATAGAAATGGCTTTCATTCTCCATTATGCATCACATGATTAATCGACTAATCAACTTGCTGCAACCGTGGTAGATTACGTGCAAAAAAGGATGCTTATTTTCGGAGAAATATGATTCTTTTAGAATATTACAAAACAACATATTTACCGACGGGTCCGTATTATTTCACCGACATCATTCCAGGTGAAATTTAGTAAAAATATATACCTGTAATTTATTAAATGCTAAACCCTAACCCTATGTGATGTCGCATTCGGTGAAATGACTGTCGGTGAATTGATTGGAACCGTTTATAATATAAAAATGTATAATCACGATTATAAATATTCATAATCACGATTCAAAAGTTTCAAAAGTAAGTTTTATGGAAGATCATGAATGAAATTTATTAAATTGAGATCATTAACTATAAAAACGTGGTTTAGTTCTAATATCTATAAAAAAAATAAGTATAAAAGATTGAAATAATTAATAAAGATCTTAATTTTTAAATAATATTAATACGTATAAAACAAACGTAGCCGTAATATTTATTCTTTATATCGCATAGTTTATTTAGTAAATTATGACTTCTTATAGATCTCTTTCATATTTTTTAATATTTCTTTTCTTGCTTTTCTCTGTAATTTCATCCGCTAATTCTCATCCTCATAAAAGAGATGCTCCAGACCCATGTGCACCAGTTTTAGCATCAACAAATCCTAATTATACTGATGTAAAAAATTGCTTGACCAGTTTCCCGTATAAGGCAAAAGCAAGATCATAGCTATCATAAACTAATCCTCCGGGGAATGAAGCGAAAGATAAATCTTGATGTACAAATCCACCTACAGAAACTGTGGACACATTGCCGATTTCTTGAAGATATTGAGAAATCATAGCAGCAGCAGAACCAGAAGCACCATTTGAAAGAACAATCATATTTGTAGTATTCCAAGGTAATTTAAATAGACTAGGTAAAAAGGTTTCATCAAGAAAATTTGTAGAATAGTAAGAACGTTTGCCACCTCTTATTATTTGCTTAGATCCTATGAATTCATCGACAGAACCAAATTGTTTGCCAGTTTCAAAGTTAATGAAAAATGTGGGATCAAAGGGATTTTCTCGTCTAACGTAACTTGTTCTAATTATTGCTTTCACCACATCAGATTGAACGTTCATATCTCGAGGAAAAGGTGTAAAATTAGAAGGTACTAAGAGTGCATCAAGAAATTGAGCCTGATTAATGGATCCACCAGGATTATTTGATATATCAATAACAAGCTATTAAAAGAAAATAAATGTTATTTATAAAACACACGGAAAAATAAAATATCATAAAAAGACATACCCTTTTTACTGTGGGTTCAGCAGCTAAGGTTTTAAATCCAGTTAATATTTCATTAATATCTCCTAGCTCGTTAATTAGGACTACAATACCAAAATCAGAATCGATAGATTTATAAAATTTTGCACTTTCGGCGTCATATACTAAAGTTGCTTTACTTAATTCATTAGGATTAACAGATTTGAGATTTTTATTTGTTAGTATTTCTTTTACTTTGGGATTAAAAATGTATGGAACAATTTTAGATTTTTTTGAGTCTTTGAGTTTTTTGAGGTTTAAAGGTGAAGAAGAACGACTTGATAAACTTTTACAGTTAAATTCATAGAAAGGACCATCTGTTAATCCTGAAAACGTAATAAACCATTCCCTTGTAACATTTTTAGTTCTCTCATTTGGACAATTTAAAGTGTATTGAATACTTTCAGATTCAGGTAAATCTACTCGGACGGTAAATTCACTTCCAAACGACGATGGACCACCAGTTCCTAGAGATATAGAAGTTAATACATTATTAAGACGAGCGCCGAGATCACGTGAGATAAAACTATGATTATTGGCAAAGTTTTTGATTGCATTAAAAGCGGGAGTGGAATCGATACAAACTACAATCTAGTGATCTTACTAAGCTTCCTGGATGCAACGAGATCGTTCGGGTATAGAAATGGCTTTCATTCTCCATTATGCATCACATGATTAATCGACTAATCAACTTGCTGCAACCGTGGTAGATTACGTGCAAAAAAGGATGCTTATTTTCGGAGAAATATGATTCTTTTAGAATATTACAAAACAACATATTTACCGACGGGTCCGTATTATTTCACCGACATCATTCCAGGTGAAATTTAGTAAAAATATATACCTGTAATTTATTAAATGCTAAACCCTAACCCTATGTGATGTCGCATTCGGTGAAATGACTGTCGGTGAATTGATTGGAACCGTTTATAATATAAAAATGTATAATCACGATTATAAATATTCATAATCACGATTCAAAAGTTTCAAAAGTAAGTTTTATGGAAGATCATGAATGAAATTTATTAAATTGAGATCATTAACTATAAAAACGTGGTTTAGTTCTAATATCTATAAAAAAAATAAGTATAAAAGATTGAAATAATTAATAAAGATCTTAATTTTTAAATAATATTAATACGTATAAAACAAACGTAGCCGTAATATTTATTCTTTATATCGCATAGTTTATTTAGTAAATTATGACTTCTTATAGATCTCTTTCATATTTTTTAATATTTCTTTTCTTGCTTTTCTCTGTAATTTCATCCGCTAATTCTCATCCTCATAAAAGAGATGCTCCAGACCCATGTGCACCAGTTTTAGCATCAACAAATCCTAATTATACTGATGTAAAAAATTGCTTGACCAGTTTCCCGTATAATGAGACTAAAGCAAAAGAGGTAAATTTTTCAATAATGAATAATTGTAATTAAACTATATTGTTTGCTATTGTGTTATTTACTTTTAAAAATTAGACTGTCGATTTGTTGAAAAAGTACACCTCTGATTTCTACGTGTTCTTTAATCAAGCCAGGGAGCAACCAAAACCTGGGTTTACATTTGAGCCTGTAGATATATTCAAAGAATTGGATAAAATTATCGCAAGTAGTCCTAAAACGGAATTTGAATTTATGGTATTTAATTCTTAAATCATCAAATATCTGTTATTCATATTAGAGAATCTATAAATTAATTGAGATATGCTATTTCATATTTTATTTTATAATTTAGAACTCTTTAAGAAATGTTTATAAAAGATTACGCGATGCACATACACAACTTATTCCTTCCTGCTATGGTCTTTTCACATTCGAG